AAGTAGGTACATGAGGAAACGCCCGGGTGTCATCACTGCGAGGATCGCCCGGAGGACACGGTGGAGCATACGATGGCGGTGTGTCCCGCGTGAACTGAGCGCCGCCGTGTCCTCAGGAATGTGATCGGCGACGGCGACCTCTCGCGTCCGGCTCTGGTTCAGACCATGGTACGGACCGAGGGGCACTGGAATGCCGTCTCCTCCTTTTGCGAAGCAGCCATGCTAGCTAAGGAGGAGGCGGAGCGCGTGAGGGAACGAACCTCCTCACGACCCGGGCGTCGGGGATCGCGGGACGATCTCCGGCCACCGTAAGCACGGGCCTGCGGACGGCGAGCACGGGTGACTCGTCGCCCGACCAGAACCAGGCCCGAGCGTACGGCGCGTCGCGTTCCGCGCGCGCCTCAAGGAGCCATCAGACCACCACAGATGGGGCCTAACAGGGCTGATGCCGATACGGAGCCGCGGAAGACTTAACGGGTTGCCGGGGCTCCGGCTCGAAGTGCAGGAGTAGGAACGGGGTGGTTTTTAATCAGTAAGAGTCTGACACTCCCTCCCGCCTCACCCGGGCGGGAGAAGTCATTGGATGACGCATATAATATAAATATTCTTTATGAGTAACCCAAGCTCAGAGGCGTAACTACGGGGTGGCAAACGTGGTGGTTTAGTGGGTTGTATACTTCGATCAACAATAGCAACTAGATAAAGGTTACGTACAAAATCAAGCTCCAGTTCAGTCCGTGTGAATAATAATAGTAAAACGATAACAAACAGAGAAAAATGTTTTAAAATAGTTTTAAGTTCAACCTAATAACAACCATGACACCTAATAATATTCATAAATCGTCAAAATATTATGTAATACTTACGACCATTCGTCATATAAGACGAGAAAAGCATTTTCTTACTCCTGTCATGTAGAAATTAAAAGACATACTATTAGGTAAGTTATTCAATATCTAGTTTAAATACAACCTTAAACTAGAACAAATTTTAATATAGATATGTTTTCCGTTGTTGCCATGCGGTCTATATCGTTTTGTTTTGTTTCGATTTCGCTACAGGAGTTATGTATGGAGTCGCGTTGAACACTAAAATAATTTTATATGAAAATTAATATTTCGGGATCTTAGTATAAAAATACTGCCCTCTTTAAAGTACTGCCAATTGTAGGAATGAAGACACCCATATGTGCAATTTATGCTGATATGTCCAAAGCGTTTGATTATGTTAATCACGATATCTTTCTTAAAAAACTTCAAGCATACGGCATTCGAGGAAACGCCCTGAATTTGATAAAATCTTATTTATTTAACCGTAAACAATGTACCGAGGTATCCAGGATATGTCTAAAAACAAAAAATGACTTAAAATACAGATCTTCATACAGAGTAGATAATCAAATACGGCGTCCCACAAGGCAGCGTCCTTGGCCCTTTATTGTTTCTAGTTTATATAAATGTCATTTGCAGATGACAGCACATCTTTAATAAAGTGTACTAATAAACGAAATTATGAACAAGATATTTATAATACACTCAGTTCTCTAATAAATTGGCGTAATTCAAACAATCTAATAATAAATCTTCAAAAGACTAAAGTCATGCATTTTTACCAAAGAATCCCCCCTAATAACATGGATATAAACCATAACGGTCAAGCTGTCGGCACAGTGGACTAAAAGTAACTGACAGCTGTCTACCTATATTTCAGTCTCATAAACTGTTAACCTTCCCATGTCTGTATATACCTACTGGAATTATGTCTATTTGTTAAAACAAACTCGCACTTGTTCACCACCTTGAAAGAAACTCGAAATAGAACAATAAGCATTAGATCTCAATACAAAAATCTTTTAAGCACGGGTGTTTTTAAAACTACTCTTTCAAGGAAAAGTGTTATTTGTATGGCACCACTTGTTTATAATAAGTTACCGAATAATATCAAGGAACAATCACTAACTAAATTTAAGAAGCATGTTACAGAATTACTTTTGCACAAGTGTTATTATTCAGTATAAGAGTTTTTGGATGATACCTTTAACTTTTGATAAATTATTTTAAAATGTATATTTGCATGCCAATTAAGGTAGAATGTACAAGGAACCTTAAAATTTTGTAACACCTAATAATTTGTACCTACATTCATAGCAAATAAATGATCTATTCTATTCTATTCTATTTTCTATACATCACTTATTTTTATTAGCGGTACGTTTTTGTGTACGTTAAGTTTTTATTTACTTTATTATTAAAAGTTTAAGTAATTCTACGTCAAAATCATTTATTTCTGTTAGACCAGGAAGGCACTTTTGAACGTCAATAATATAAATTTAAAAGTGAACTATTTGCTCATTCCAAGGTGTAGATTCCTATGGAGAAGAACGAGCAAGAAACTTCATAGGTTAGGTACTCTTTTCCAATCAGATTACAATACAATTTTATTTTACAATACAAATCGACTCCATGCATTCACTGTTCTGTTTAAACAATTGTTTGTGCACGTGTTGGCGATGCTTGGCCAAGGGTTCGCCAAACATTGGCATTGGTTTATAATTGGTAATTTTGTCTAATTTGATATTATTTACTAGTTTAAAAGCTTAAAATATAATTTATACTTTATGTACTTATAGTAAGTAAGACACTCCGGCCGTTATACTGCTTTTTCGGTTATTATTTTTGCAACTTGCAATTACGCACTGCGGCATCGTGAGACGTGATTACGTTGGCCGTGTTTGGAGCGTACTAAACAAAATAAGAGCTCACTTCTCAAGTGAGCTCTTATTTGTCGAGACGATTTTCTTGCGCCGACCCGATATCTAGGTGTTATTGTTGATCGAAGGTTGTATACCGTTGAGGAGTTCCCTTAACAATTACACTTGTTCATCATCAGACCCTTAATGACAGTCCCACTCTATCTAGGTGTAAAGTCCTCATCAATACAAATTATTCAAGCCCAAACACAAGGTAGTTACTGTATACAGTTGAGGAGATCCCTTAACAATTACACTTATTCATCATCGGGTTGACTCCAGACCCTTATTAAATTATAGTGTTTAAAAATCTTAATTGAAAAATATAATAGACGCATTACTCGCCCCTAGAATTTTCGAAAATTCCCCTCGGTCTCCCTATGATCCTGATATGGAAATGGGATCATCTCGGGAGTATACTCTTTCAAACAAAACAAGAATTTTGGAAAGGAAATCTGTTCACAAACGGCGGAGTAATGCGCGAACAAACAAATAAAAAAAAACAATCAGCCAAACATAGTACCTCCTCCTTTTTTTGAAGTCGGTAAAAACCCATAGCTTTTGCCTTGAAGTTATTTTTGGCAGTCAATAGCTTCAGCAATAATTTTAGGTGGGTTTTTCACATATCAGGCTACATTTGAACATGTACACACAGTTCTTTTTTTTTCTGATTTTATCAGGGTTGACATACAATTCCAACGGTAAAAGAATTTTTGAAATAGAATGGGTAGTTTCTGAGCCTATTTAAACTGTCAAACACCAAGCGGTCACCGGTGACCGCAACCTATTGTTCTATAATTGTGTCTACAAAACCGGTACTCAACGAGTTAATTGAAACACAAAAAATCAAATCTTTTCTCTTTATAATATTAGTGGAGGCAGATAAAGATAATTTAAGTATCTATTCATCTATGATATTTCATAAAACCATATCACTGAAAACTATTCAATCACTATTCCACACGGACAAAGTCATTGGCATAGCTAGTTGTTGCTATAAAACCACTCTTGGTTATCTGTAATGAAATAATGTTAGTGAGGTGTGTGTTAGGAACAATTTCATATTATTTTAATAAAACCTCATTAGTCACATCCGTTTCTAAAACTTTCAGTACCTACCACAGTTGCAGGTTTACATTACAACATAAATATGTACAATTGTTACTTAAAAATCTGGTACATCCTAAGCTTTCCTAGTAAAACCTATGAACTTTGGTAGTTATTGTATTTGTCTCTCTATCTTCTCATTGTGCTAATACCGAACTGTTCTGTGATAATTGTTCATTTCCAACTTGTAATTACCACCTTGTACTTGGTAAAACTGTTTACCTTTAAGGTGAATGCTAAGATTTGAGGTGTGAAGAAAAGAACAAACCATTTTGGTTAGGTTAAATACAACCCAGCAGACTAAGGAATTATATTATAGGCTGTTGTTGATGTTATTTCAGTGAAAGAAAATTAATATAATTAATATACTCCTATGAACATATACTCAATAGTAAGGGCAAGAAGAATTTAAAGTGGAGTAAGGAGGAAATCCTAGTGTAGGGCAACCTCTTTTAAACTGTCAAACACCAAGCGGTCACCGGTGACCGCAACCTATTGTTCTATAATTGTGTCTGCAAAACCGGTACTCGACGAGTTAAAAGAGAAGAGAGTTCTTGCTATTAATTAAAAAAGATAAATAAGTGTGGCATTACTTATGTTGCACAGTTCACAGTCGCTGTGCTAATTATTTTCACATCACGTCCAACAGCCTAGAAGATTTGAACATTAACTCGTTGAGTATCGTCATTATAGACACAACTATAGAACAATAGGTCGCGGTCACCGGTGACCGGTTGGTGTTTGACAGTTTAATCACCAATCTAGCTTAAAGCAGTTAGCAATTTTAACACTTATAATAAGCCCAGGTATCATGACAATGTTTCCTTTCATTATTTGTCTAAATAATCTAAGAAAGTACTTCCATGGTACTTGCTATTGGTAGGTTTCAGACCCTCATACATGAGAAGCGGTGTCTTGAACCTCCGGCCACTACATTACCATTATTTTAATTATGTGTTGTGTATTTGTTAATAAGAAATGTAGATAAATACACACAATTGTATGTTACATACAAAGTTAGCTACCGAGCTCAAATGTACCTACTCATGCAGTTAGCACACAACAAACGCTAGTTGTTGGAAACGCCAGGACACGCCAAGACACGCCAAGACACGCCAGGACACGCCAGGACACTCCACGGTACCGCGCGGCAGCGGCAGCAGCGACTCCCGGCGCAGCAGACGGCGCCACAGCGCGGGGTCGTCGGTCGCGCGGCGCCACGCGCGACACACCGCGCCGCAGCGCGCTACGTCCGCGCCCGCCAGCCACGCCAGCACCTCGCGCAGCACCACTGCGCAACGCTGCTCTTCGCTCTGCCACACTGACATCGCTGGCGCTCACGAAGAAGACTGAAACCTCCGTCCGTTTCGCTCTCTACCTGCGGCGTCGTTAGGTACTGCCGACGAACTGGTCAGCTTTTATTCTATTTTAATTTAATGCTTGACCTGGATGCTCACTCACTGACCCAATAGAATTGCCGACCGATGCCCACCTAATAAAGTCCCAGTTTTCGTTCACTATAAAAACAAAAAAATGTGAATTTATTAGCATCTTATATATGTAGGTACTTACATAACTATATTCCATTATGCTCTTAAATAAAATAATTATTTATTAATATCAATTAATTCTAAACATCACTTTATTGCATGTGACAAGTTAGAAGCTGCTAGAAGAATGACAACTGACAAGTGACAACTAAGACAAAACCAAAGATAAAATTACAATGACCAAAATAAAAGTGGACTTGCCCTAATGTTCTATTGGCGATGCAAAGGCCAGCCAAAGATTATCGGCGCGCCTCTAGCGGTGAAATTTAGAAGTTGTCTAAGAACGACACTTTGCTTTCGGGTTGAGGTTAAAATAAGTTTTTAAACATAATCAAATGGACCACGACAACATACAGAAAGCTATTTATTAACCGACTTCAAAAAAAGGAGGAGAAATTTTATATTTATTCACCGATATCTCCGTTATTTACAAACCGATTTCGATAATTCTTTTTTTGTTGGAAAGGAGATAGTCCCAGAACGGTTCCATGATAAGGAATTATGATCTGATGATGGAAGACCAGGGAAACCGAAGGGAACTTTTAAAAATAATCGGGGCGACTAGACTTAGTGCGATTAGTAATTTTTTTCATTAAATATTATAATTAATAAAGTATAATATATAATATTTAATAATTAATATAGGTCTGGAGTCGATCTGATGATGGAGCCGAGAGCCAGTCAGCCAGAGCTAGGTGGGGTGTAATTGTCAATAAGGGCCTGCTGATGAAGTAGTACGATAGTTGAGGGAACTCCTCAACGGTTACCAGTAGCTATGTTGTGTTGGGGTCTGATAATTTGTATTGATGAGGACTATACACCTAGATGGGATGTGATTGTCATTAAGGGTCTGATGATGAAGTAGTACGACAGTTGAGGGAACTCCTCGGTGGCTACCAGTAGGTGCCTTGTGTTTGGGTTTGACAATTTATATTGATGGGGACTTTGCATTCATGTGTTAATATGGATGTGTATGGTAATATATCGAAGTACTAAACTAAAAAGTATAAAATAAATAAAAGAACCGACTTCATAAAATAAAGACAAACGGGAAGTAAAAACTAAAAAGGAAAAAATAACTATTATTGGTCATATGTAGATACTTATAGCATACACACTAATGAATAGGTTAGAAGTCGGTGCCATAAACCATAAAATATAAAGTAAGTAGTTAATGGTCACAGGATAGTATAATCTAGAATAAAATTGTAAACAGCTAAAAAAAAAAACTTGCGGTGATTTGGGAATAAGTTTTCAATTCCTGTAGAATAAGTGGGCTAGGTGGCCTTAAATGCCTGTCTGTCACTACAACGAACATTTCACTAATGAATGTAGACAGGCTAAATCTAGAGAAATATTGTGTTATGGATGTGGACAGCCAGGCGTAACACGACCTGCATGTCCACACTGCAATTCAAGAGTAGAACTTGAGAATGTCACAAAAAACTGAAATGTGAGAACTCTACTCGATACTCAAAATTAAAGAGGTCACCTAACAACTGAAATAAAGGTAAAGTTCTCTTTCCAAACAAAAAGCCTGATAACCGACCTTACCTTCAATTTAACTGTGGTTTTTTCGCTATTTAGCGCCTCCCCGGCCGCTCTCTGTAGTGCCAACAGTTCTGCTTGGTAGACGGTGCAATAGGACGGCAGTACAAGTTTTTTAGACGTATTTTCGGTTGCGCTATCCCACAAAGATAGCGCTGCACCGACTTTGCCCTCGATCTTGCTGCCGTCCGAGAAAATTCGCACGTCGTAGTTCGAGGCATGGTTACTATATTGTTCCTCGTCCACCAAGCTGTTGAACTGCAACGTTTCCTGCTCGGCCGGGTGGGGAAAGTCCACCGCACGCGTCATCTTCTCTATCTCCCTATCCC